AATGAAAGTATTTTACACTGAGGCATCTCGTAAAAGCACTTAAGAGAACCTTATCAAATATAGCATTAAAATATCTTGATATTTACTTCTAAAAATGTCCATTAATATTTTCAAAGGTAAGTGCAAAGATAAAGTAACTATACTTCGTTTAAACGTCCATCATCACAGAAGGCCGGATCCAAAACCAGGCGTATGCCGGTAGCTTTTAAAAAGTGGATTAGTGGGCGATGATCTATTGTTACAGCTATAAATGTCAACGACGCATTAGTTATCGGTCCCTAATGTGTCTTTGGCAACAATATTATCAATAAATTGTATACTCTGCGGCGTTGGGCTACACCTAATAGACAAGAATCTAACTACACCTAGAAGAGGCGTAAATTTTGCGACTTTAAAATTCAGCGTGTCATTTGAATATACCCTATAATTCCCTTCTTTTCATGGCTGTAACGTAAAATGAGGACTCCGTGGCGCAGTTGCCACGGTATTGGCTTCGGCGTCGGGGGTCGTGGGTTCGATTCCCACACGGGACAACTATTTCTGCGACCCACAGATAGTTGTTTCGCATCTGGGTGTTTGTCCTCGTGCAATTTATGTTTGTAAAACGTCCTTACAACACAGGATAATGTTATCCTAAAGTGAGGGCAATGTTTTCAAAAAAAGAAAAAGAAAAGAAAAAATGTTTCGAAAATTATTGACGTTTGGATCTTAGTGAATCCGATTACAAATATGCTGGTGGTGGATGGATTTTTTAATTTTTCTGCTCATCATTTTGATTATCTGCCTGTAACCCATGAAATTTCTGAAGTCATACATATCTTTAACTTGAATTAAGCACTTGTCAATATTTTTATATTTTTTATAAAAATACAAATATAAATTAAGCGAAATTATCATGTTAAATAAACTGAGCTTAAGTTAATTCATAAATGACGTGAGCTTTAGTTTAGAAAAACTTGCAAAAATAAATAACTGCAACCAGTACAATAACTTTATGATGCAACTCTATTCATTCCAGTACTTTTTTTTTAAATTAATTCAATAAGACGCCATCTTGAAATTGCGCTGACCGCATCTATGTGCTCTATTTCCTTAGATCAGTTGTGCAATGGCTACGCATTTCGAGACAACCTTTGGTGTCTCAACTCAGCACGACGTAGTCCTGCCACAGAATAACTGAATCGAATCTATTGCGTACAACAATTCAATGCTAGAGTTGCGGCCGTAATAACTTACAACTTTTTTTTCTTTTCTTAGCTATTTAGCTTTAGATCGCATAACTGTTTCTATGCGACATAAACATAGGAAATAGGTTAGTGGAACAAAATTCTGTATAAGAAAATGCTTTTACAAGTGCGACAGGTTGACACGGAGTGTCTAGTTAACGGACTGGGCTCAACACCAGAAGCACAACGAGTTGAAATCCCGTTTACACATCTTTTTTACATGGTAAAAAAAATCTTTTTTACACGGTAAAGTTATGACTTCATCTCTTAAGTTTATTCACACTATAAGTATCCGTTGTAAGGTCTCCGTGGCGCGGTTGCTGAGGTATTGGCTTCGGCGTCGCGGGTCGTGGGTCGTGGGTTCGATTCCCACACGGGATAACTATTTCTGGGTCCTACAGATAGTTGTTTCGCATCTGGGTGTTTGTTTGTCCATGTGAAATTTATGTTTGTAAAACATCCTTACAACATATGATTATGTTATCCTAAAGTAAGGGCAGTTTTTTTAAGTCGAAAAACAAAGGCTTAAAAAAGTGCCTGAGGTTACTTGTGGATATTTAGAGAAGGTAACATGATTGTGTTCTTTTGATGTTATTGTTTTTATTTTCTGCATTTCTCAAACAAGGTTACAAAAAAACAGTACAAAATTACCGTATTATATTAACACCTGTAACTGTATTATGTTCATTTATGTTTGTAAAACATCCTTACAACATATGATGTTATCCTAAAGTAAGGGCAGTTTTTTTAAGACTAAAAACAAAGGCTTAAAAGGTGCCTGAGGTTACTTGTGGATATTTAGAGAAGGTAACATGATTGTGTTCTTTTGATGTTATTGTTTTTATTTTCTGCATTTCTCAAACAAGGTTACAAAAAACAGTACAAAATTACCGTATTATATTAACAACTGTAACTGTATTATGTTCAAAACTATTTTATATTCCCAACTAGAAAAATTAAAAATATCGCCATAACCATTCAGGAAAAGTAATTGTACTAAAATTAAAGACTATTTCAAGTTACACTTAGATAACTGCAGGAAAAAGTTTTACGGTAAAGGGGCATTTTCAGATATGGACGTAATATATATCAGTAAACAGGTTAAAATTTTCTATCACGGTTTACACCAATGTTCCAATTTTTGTAAATATATAATCATGGTATTAAAAATTAATAAATGTAAAGGTTACGTGTACAGATTGAAGATCATTTTAAATGCTTCAGAAAACATGCCCTCCTTAAGACTTTAGACGTTGCTATCACTATAATTTGCTCAAAGATTCCAATGGAGGTTCGTAAATTTGCTAGGGCACGGTGTCCGCTGTGCTTCGGCCGCTGCAGTCCTCTACAGAAGGCTTAATAAACTATCCGAGCAGATGTAAATGGAACAGCGAGCACGACCCGAGGCTAGGGCGGGGTCCGGACAACACTTTCATATTATTACGGCCGCATTGCACGCACACGCGCGCGGTCCACACGCGCACAGGCGCACGGCGTACACGCACGGGCGCGATTATATCGAGGCAGACATGCGCCGGCGCACGCGATACTACCACTTTTAATGATTCGTTAGCGAAATCATTAGGAGATGTAATGTCGGCGCATTGTAATGCGTGTTTATGGTTATTTAAATGATTTATTTTTATTGATCGTTTTCGCCTTGTTACTGGACGGGAAATAATGATGGCCGTACGAATAAGGCTACTATTATAGCGTTGCGAAGCCCGTAAGGCTGCGTAATTCGAATGTTCGGTAATGGAATCTGTGACGAGAAAATGAGTTGTCAAGTTGATACGGTAGGCGCATTCATCATTCAAAATCCGGGCAACGGTAGTTGCTATGTAGACAAGTTGGGACGTATCTTTTGACTACTATACGCAAATGACTGATGTTCACCGGTTCGAAACGGATCGCCGTGTATACTGCTAATGCACACAATAAATCAATCGATTATTTACATATAATATAAACTTTGCCTCAATTTATATCGATCGTAACAAATATTATAATCACAACGACGCAAGATGATTGCCTTACGCAGTTTAGATACCCTTATGACAACGTATAAAGAAGTATTTTATTTTAATAGGTTAATATGTTTTGAAACTTATAAGTGACTAATAAATTTAACAAATATTTATTTTTTAAAGGCAGACCATCTAATGTCATGTAAGCATTAGTTTCAGTATGTAAAGTAACTGTGTGAAAGCATATTTTAGGTGATTCTTTTGATTATGTTATTACCTAATTTCGTTAAAATTTTGGGTGACGTTATAGAAATAATATATCTTAATTTTAATACACTACCGTTATCTAAAATCTGTTCTTGTAATCAAATTAGACTTGATTGCTCAATTTGCCGGAGCCCACATAATTCTTGGGCGAAGAGTCACGTACGTCGCGAACACTAAAATAATTTTGGTCATAATTCAGTCTTTATTATTGGACCCACAGTGGACCACCCGTACACGTAAAGAATTATTAAAATTATACGATATCGATTAAAAATACAGAAGCACGCCAATTTTAAAATTATTATTTGCTATAAGTGGTTCAAGAGTTTAGCAAAAGATCTTTATCGCATATTTTATCAGTTAAATAGTTTGCACTTTTATCTTTCCTTCGTAGGCTATATCAGTGCGCTACGAAACGATTTGTTATTTTTGTTCGATGTTATTTTAGGTATGAAATAATAATGACGTACCGAACATGAAGTTAAATAAAAAAAAAATAACTTTAAACAGGAACTCAACTGTCATAGGGCCACGCAGCCTCTTCTGTTGCAGGTATGGGCAGGCTGGTCAGGGGAAATACCACGGCCACACAGAAGACCGGCATGAAGCGGTCAAGTGGAGGTATTATACTTTCGCACTATATATTCGCACTATATAATATTATTATACTTTCGTATGTTCATACTCATCTCGATCGAGACCCATTTTTAAATAGGTTAGAAACGCACCTGCAACTCTCCTGTAACTGTCCAGATGTAGCATGTCCATGGCCGCCGGTAGTCACTTAATATTTGGTGAATATAACTCGTTTACCAAGTTTTTACAGTAAAAAATGTAACCGGTAAAATACTGGAAAACACAACATAAAGTGTCTCATACGACACTTTAAGACCGCAAGGGCACCGACTTTACGTTGATCTCATTCGAGTCGTCTTCACCCAACACCGTTGAACCGATCATTAAGTTCGCATGTCTGTCCATCAGCCAGATTATTGCAATTATTTAAATTCACACCTTCGAAACGCGAAAAAGTCTCTTTTCACACTTTAATATTTCGTAAGCGCAAGGAAATGACGTCTCATTCGAAAGGTATAATTAGGGACAACCTTGGTCTTCAGGGTTGTACCGGATTTATGCACTTCTGACATTGCAAAGTTGACGCGATAATTGTGACGATGTTTCCACATGTATTGCGCTTGATATCAACCCTTTTAATCATTCGCTTTTGGTTCTACTCTATGAGTTCAACCGTATTACAGTTGAAGTCTTAAAAGAATACAAATAACATAACATATTAATGTGACTTTAGTATGCAATTTTTATTGCAACAATTATGCTCTTTTTAAAAAGAATCCAACAAATTGTACACGACACGCGATTTACAATAGACATTCATCGTATAAAATACCAATTAAAGCGAGTAATTTCATAAATGCGCAGCAATGTGAGTTATCAAAGATTTAACAAAAAGCGTTTCTATAACATTTTATTCGCATAATTTATTTGTATTACCTATCTGGAAGTTATTTGAGGAGCGTCAAGAATTAGCTGCACATGCGTAGCGGGGGCAAAATATGAAATTAATTCTTGAGGCGAGCCAGGCTTCCGCGTGGCCTACCTCGATATAGAACGGAACACTTACACGCTTGGAACAAGGCTCGGGAATGGACATGGCGCGGTCCAACGTACCGCTATCAATTCCCGCCGTTGCCTTGGGCACGCCCAGGGCACTAACCCTTGTCGCAATATGCAGCATTATGCACCCAGAGCACCGCGCTCACTCGCACTGATAAAAGCTGTAGGTGTAGTAGTTCGTCCAGTAGAATAGATGGCTACCCTCCCTTTCACTAACGTAACAGTGCCGTAGTCATAGCTCGGACGAAACTGTGCACGGAAAACCATAGTTTTTTTTAAATTATTTCTCTTTGAGAAGCCATTATAAAGTTGTACTCGATCTCAACGCGACCGGCTATTGACAATAGCGGAATGAAACATTCGTTGTTTATTGCTCGGGATGCCTTGCATTCTTCATCTGCTTGCACATTGTAGATCAATAGGCTATTTACACATATTGTATTGCGGAAAACCTTTGTACAGAAGCATAAGCTTCACCAGCAACTTCCGTACGTACACAATGGACGACTATTGAAAATCTACTTCCTAATTAGTCATTTCAAGTCATACACTGCCTGACGGTCCGAAAGCTAGTCAAGGCCGGGGCAGGACTATGAATACGGGCAGAAATCCAATAAGGTATCTATCCATATATTGATAACAGATAAGGCTGTCACCGACGGGGCGGCGGCTGGTCACTAAATATCCGCCGTGATATACAGCGGGCGATGTCTACACCGGTTGCGAAATTGGAGCGGACCGAACGCACGCCGCCGCCCGCGCGTGCCCGATCCGTGCGTGAGCACCGCCGATAAGTTCGATTTCGAATTTGGAATCCGCACGATGATTCTAACCGCCGTATTGTTTTCGAATAAACGTTATTTAATGTCGAAAAATATGTCGCGTGTGTCAGAAATAGCACGACGTTCTATGTCGTAAACACTCAAGAATAGAATTCAAGATCTATATGCAAATTGTGGGAGGCATTTGTTCAACTGTGGACGTCCTCCGGCTGATGATTGAGTGATTGATAAATGCACATTTTTTTATTTGATCACACGATAGCACTGATGCTGTGATATAAGCCGGGGGTCATGAACACATAATTTGATCACCACACGGGACTCTAGTACCAGAGATAATTCTTCAGGGTCTGAGCTTTCGTTCCCAAGGAAGTTTGCCTTTAGACGGGCGGGCGGTCGGTCGTAGAAACCTATTCAATACTAAATAGATATTTTTGATTGCTATGCGCATTTCAGTGGTCGAATAAGGTACCAAAGTTGTTTAGCAATGACTAGAGAGGAAGCAATCTATCGCTCATCATCCAATAATATTAAAGGCTATGATCCAAAAATTCATTGAGATAAGCAAATGGGATACGAACTTGAAAACTGGCTTAGTAATCTGGTGAAACAACCAGTAGGACCACATTGCGGTTAAAAATACGGTAAATAATTTACAAAGGGTGAAAAACAAAACTTTTCTACATAAATAGTAACAAATATAAACCAAGTTCATAGGAAATTTAATACTCTTTTTTAAGGAAAGGATTGTTAAACTTCGCTCTTTCCTTCGATTTTTTAAATTATTCTCGTTTTTTTAGTAATTAAAATTGAAATAATGCACTGAGTAGAGATTGGGGTCAAGTTGCATGGACCTGTCACCTTGTTTATATTGACTTAAAATACTGTGAAAATGTCGATCAAAGTGTTGTGAATATTTTTCTTGTATCTTGTATTAACTGATGTTTTTGCTTTCAGTCCCGAGACTATTAAAGCTTCATCGGACGCAGAACCGGTGGGCTAGCCAGAACCCACGGGTTTGGACCCTCCGCTATGGAGAATATTTTTGTATACACACCAAGATTTAAGAAGGTCCCGTAGACCTCATTAACCAGACAAAATGTTATATACTTCTACTTGACGCCGGTCTTCTGTAAAACCGTGGTACCCGAATGAGCAGGCTAATGAAATTCAACAAAATATATACATATTATACACATATTTTTATAATGTTTATTTTACTCCGCTTGCCTGATTGAATCATAAATACAAAAATCATGAAACTAGCGCCCTCCTCACCGAACGCGTTCCATGAGCTGTCTGTATACTGTATGTATATGTGTACTTTTTGGGTGAAAAACTAATCGAGCAAGAATTGACAGAGCGCGGCGCAGTTGCTAAGTTACTCGCTTAGGCACCGGGGGTCGTGGGTTAAAAAGTGAAACTCGTGTTATCATCATTTTGATTACAATGAGCTGTCCATGAGTTTTCTTTTTTTAAGAATACGCAAAAATATACTTGTAGTTATGGATATGATACAAACACCGCTATAATCATTCGGGGTGCCTATAAAATATGTGGAATTAAATATTATACAATTTTACTTTTGATATTGTTTTACGTTTTCAGTTTTGTCGGCAGTCCCCATGAGACGGCCTATATTTTTCTTCTAAAATTTTTTTTCCGATATAACATTACTATGGGTGGGATAGCATTATTCTGCTTTGTATGGATGTTTTACATAAACAAACTTCACGCAGACAAGCACGTCACAGGAATTTCATCTGAAACAATTATCTGTGGATCAACGTGCTTTGTATGGATGTTTTACATAAACAAACTTCACGCAGACAAACACGTCACTGGTATTACATCTGAAACAATTATCTGTGGATCACACATGCGCTTGCCCTGTTTGAGAATTTAACCCACGACCCCCGGTGCCTAAGCGAGTAACTTAGCAACTGCGCCGCGCTCTGTCGATTCTTGCTCGATTTTTCAAACTGTTCCATAAATAATTAAAGTATTAGTGAGTATTTGATAATTAAAGGAACGGATAGAAAATAATAATTTGTACGCTAAGAAGAACCGTAACAAGAGTATCCTATTATGTCAATGGATTTCACCGAGTATTTTGCAATTCAATATCGACATCATTTCGAACATGCGAAGCTCATTCCATGTAACTGTTATGGGCAGGCCATTAGAATTGATGTAGACAATATAATTAACTAAAAACTGATTGCGTCGTTACACCTTAGTTTATTTCTCGCCTTCCCTCCCATTTGATGTCAAATGTCATACCCAGTTAACGTAGATTATTTAGATATCCTGTTCCAACAGAACAAATGACAAAGCGAATTCTCCATATGTAAATTTGAATTGTGATTTAAGTCTAGTTAGAAACTCATTATGTTATGAGTATGAAATTAAAAATTTCTCAAATATTAAATTTGTTATTGCATGGATGCATCATCATTTATTAAAATTTTATTTCACATAGACTTTATTTTGATAAAAAAATTAAGACCAACGGTCCAAATACATAAAATAAAAAGAACGTTTTATTACACACAATGTAACAAATAATAAAATATGAACAAAGAATGAAAATAAATAATAATATGTGAAGAATTTTAGTAAAACGTAAATTTTGTGTATGTAAAAATGGGGTCCAATTTGAAAAAAAAAAACGCAGTGGGACCGCAGTGCTCGTTTTCTATGGAGCTCATTGACTTGTGCAACACCCGTAGGGTTACAAATGCGTCGCCATCTTTTTCAATGTTTCTAACTGGCCAGCTAAAAACTTTCAGTCTCACCCTGATGTAGGCAGTAGGTATCCATTATAATCCTCAAATTTTGCACTAATCAATTAGCCATGAATTTTAACTGAAGCGGTCTTAAATGTAAAGCGACTTGAATACTGCCAAATATCACAAATTAAATAAATTAAATTATTTTTAAAAGACCGTTCTCCATCGGCTAATATTATCATGTTTTTAGGCGGTTAGAATTTTACACTTTTCTACCAATGTATTCTTAGTAAAGTAAAGTAACAGCCTATACATGTCCCACAGCTGGGCAAAGGCCTCCTCTATACAGAGGGTATCAGGGCATAGTCCACCACGCGGCCCCACTGCGGATTGGCGAACTTCACATATCTTCGATTTTTTTGTTATTATTTCGAAAATAAGCAGGTTTCCTCACGATGTTTTCCTTCAATGCGGAGCACGTGATAAGTCAACACTTAAAGTTAAAAACTTCATTGGTGCTGGCACCGGGGATCGAATTCAGGTTGCTCGAGTATATTGAATTAAAGGCGAGCGCCCGGAAGCTATCACGGCTCGATGTATACTTCCAAGTTACTATATTGAATGTTATGAATCAAACAAAATTATTAATTATTATACGTATTCTAATATGATTGCCAGGCACTTTTCGATATCAAAATTCCAACAAAGTTAGATGCTAGCCTTCAAGTAAGACGTGAGGCTCGTAATCGGATAGTTGTCCATATTAATGATGTCAGTTGCCAGTCGGTTAACATAGGGAAGAAGATGATGCTCAGGCACGGTAGTGACGGAACCTGGAACGGGGTACATTACTGGAATAACATTCAATAATAATATTCTTCGTATCAATGTACTGCTTTTCCAGTTTTTCTTACTTTAAATGAAACACAATAGTTATAAGATTAATAGATAAATATTAATATGGACATATCTTATCTATCTTAGTCCGAGGCTAGCAATTGACGAGCATTGAAAATTTTAACGAGAAGTGACACTAGCCAACTGAAATGAGCGACCGATATACTCACGACGCGAAAATCTCTTGAACTCTTCTCCTGCTTTTCTTTTATGTTTTTACGATATTTCTTTCATACTTTTTTTTAAATTATATCAATCTCAAAACTTTAGTTTATTTGAAATTCATCTTGATACCATAATGATTTAATATGCACAATGTAGCAGTGCATTACGAATAGGTATTTCTAGAAGTCAGCTCTAATTTAGTTCTATTGGAATGGAATTCGGTAATTCGCATCGTCATTGTTCGCTGTCGGACACGAAGTTCGTGTCTGCGTCGCCTTTGCTGGCGAGTCGAGGGCAAGCGTAATGCCAAATGTAAGTTTATTGAGAGTAGGTAATAAACAATTAAGCACACCCTGTTTAGTTCTATTCGTTGAAGGAATAGTTCAAAGCTCTCTTATGATTTCTGATTAGTTGTGAAAGATTTTTGATAAAGGTTTTTAATTTTAATGGACGAGATGACTTCAAAAATGGAGAAGGTTCTCAATTCGTTTGTATTTTTTTATGTTTATTAGCTCAGAACTACGTCATGAACCAATTTAAAATTT